AACAAATGTTGACAAGACAATGAAGCAGCAACAAGGGGAGAGGAGCACAGGGTAATTATAGACAGAGACACAGGTGAAACACATTAGGGCGGGGTAGACAATCAAGACAGGGGAAACAGGACGTCAAAGTCAAACTACAACCAAAGCACAGAGAACAGATATCAAAATAAAGCTAAAGTCCAAAATAAAATCCACACCATGACAAATATATAGTTTTACCATGTGGATCTATTATAATATATAGTTTTACCATGTGGATCTGTTATAATATATAGTTTTACCATGTGGATCTGTTATAATATATAGTTTTACCATGTGGATCTATTATAATATATAGTTTTACCATGTGGATCTATTATAATATATAGTTTTACCATGTGGATCTATTATAATATATAGTTTTACCATGTGGATCTATTATAATATATAGTTTTACCATGTGGATCTATTATAATATATAGTTTTATAAACGCGGTGTGAAGAGAAGAGACACATGGAGGAATAAAGTCTGTGTGAGGTTAAAACTGTGGTGATCAAAGAAGCAGGAGATATACACAGCAGCAAAGCTCATGTTAGCATTAGCTTTAGCCACAGCATTAGCATTAGCTCATGTTAGCATTAGCCACAGCATTAGCATTAGCTCATGTTAGCATTAGAGTTAGCCACAGCGCCCTATCTGCATCACCAGGAAAGAAAAACAGAACATTCACTCTCGCTGCTGATACATTATTCTGGCAATCGTTTTGTGGGGATTCTGTGTGTTTTATTTGATGCTTGTCCCTGAATAAGTTTAGTTGAAGCTTGGACTGGGCTCGGATCGGGTCAGAACATCCTGAGGCCCTGTTTATACTGAGACGCTGCGCAGACGTTTCCAGGCTATTAACAGAAACGACCAGGCTCCTAATGCAGATTTCTCTGCGTTCACATGAGGTTGAAAAACGATGTAGTTCTAGCGCCCGGCCAGTAGGGGGCAGAGAAACTTTACAACACTCACACGACCCCGAGCCCCGTGCCCAGCCCCCTCTCGGCAGTGTACTCACTTCCTGTACCAGACCCTCAGAGAGTACCAACATCATTCTGCATTTTAACAGCAGCTGTGAAAATGGAAACTGAACCTAGAGCTTTGCGTGGTCTCGTTTGGACGAACGAAGGAGTAGAATTATCCTCTGTGCTGTGCTCGAAGCCCACAAAGCTAGTTTGTGTGGGCGGCGCCATTGTTGTTGATGTTTGTTCTCCGCTACTGCGCATGTTCAAATGTACGTGCGGGGGTCAGAGCAGCAGGAGGTGGGGGTCAGAGCAGCAGGAGGTGGGGGTCAGAGCAGCAGGAGGTGGGGGTCAGAGCAGCAGGAGGTGGGGGTAGGAGCAGCAGGAGGTGGGGGTCAGAGCAGCAGGAGGTGGGGGTCAGAGCAGCAGGAGGTGGGGGTCAGAGCAGCAGGAGGTGGGGGTCAGAGCAGCAGGAGGTGGAGTCAGAGCAGCAGGAGGTGGGGGTCAGAGCAGCAGGAGGTGGGGGTCAGAGCAGCAGGAGGTGGAGTCAGAGCAGCAGGAGGTGGGGGTCAGAGCAGCAGGAGGTGGGGGTCAGAGCAGCAGGAGGTGGGGGTCAGAGCAGCAGGAGGTGGGAGTCAGAGCAGCAGGAGGTGGGGGTCAGAGCAGCAGGAGGCGGGGGTCAGAGCAGCAGGAGGTGGGGGTCAGAGCAGCAGGAGGTGGGGTCTCAGAGCAGCAGGAGGTGGGGTCAGAGCAGCAGGAGGTGGGGGTCAGAGCAGCAGGAGGTGGGGGTCAGAGCAGCAGGAGGTGGGGGTCAGAGCAGCAGGAGGTGGGGTCAGAGCAGCAGGAGGTGGGGGTCAGAGCAGCAGGAGGTGGGGGTCAGAGCAGCAGGAGGTGGGGGTCAGAGCAGCAGGAGGTGGGGGTCAGAGCAGCAGGAGGTGGGGGTCAGAGCAGCAGGAGGTGGGGGTCAGAGCAGCAGGAGGTGGGGTCAGAGCAGCAGGAGGTGGGGTCAGAGCAGCAGGAGGTGGGGGTGTGAAAGAGCCCCCGCTGTGCAGCGTTTCTGAGGCTGGATCTGAACACTTACGTTTTCACCTGGAACAGTAGTTCGAGATCTCCAGCCTCAGAGTGGGACAGCTCAGAAACGCTGCACAAAGGGCTCTCTTTCACACCCGCGAGAAGGTAAAGGTGTGAAATCCCCCTCTGCTCTGACACCCCCACCTCCGCGCGCTCCCCGCCACGTAAATTTGGACATGCCGCAGTAGCGAGAACAAACATCAAACATCAATGGCGCCGCGCCCACAAACTAGCTTCGTGGGCTTTTCGAGTCACAGCAAGAGGATAATTCTAACTCCTTCGTTTTCATCCAACGAGACCACGGCGAAGCTCTAGGTTCAGTTCCCATTTTCAAAACAGCTGCTGTTTAAAAGGCAGAATGATGCTGGTGCTTTTCCTGAGGGGTCTGGCACAGGAAGTTGAGTATACTGCCGAGAGGGGGCTGGGCACGGGGCTGGGGGTCCGTGTGAGTGTTGTAAAGTTTATCTGCCCACTACTGGCCGGGCGCTAGAAACTACATCGTTTCAAACCGTCATGTGAACGCTGAGAAATTTGCATTAGGAGCCAGTTCCGTTCTGTTAATAGGCTGGAAACGTCTGCGCAGCGTCTCATATAAACAGGGCCTCGAGTTGTACCACTCTGCAGGCTGGATCTGAACACTTCCGTTTTCACCCCCCTGGGAACACAAGACTTCCGTATAACGTTGGTAGCAACCGACCATCCAAACAATACCGTTTTACTGCCACATGTGTCTCCGTGTAAACATCAGCCTAAATGTTGAAAATGATCCGTGGAAGACGTGTTTAAGTGACTCCCCTAGCAGCAAGTTGATCCTGACCAACCCATCTCTACATACTGTAAAGGAGATGGTAGGTCAGTAAAACGCTTGTGCTTTCATCTACAAGAATTTAAGATTAAAGTAAACTAAGATTAAGATTAAGGGTGTATTCAGACCTGAAAAGTCCTTTTGCTCCGCTTGCTTGATCAATCAAAAGCGAACCACCAAACTTTTTCTTTGCACTCCGGTCGAATTCAGACTGCATAGTTAGCAGTATAGTTAGCATCATAGTTAGCAGCATAGTTAGCATCATAGTTAGCAGCATAGTTAGCAGCATAGTTAGCAGCATAGTTAGCAGCATAGTTAGCAGCATAGTTAGCAGCAT